TTGAATGGCTCTGACAAAAATGCTGATAGTGATATGAAAAATAAGGTCCAGGCTAAGGTGGTCTCAGATGGAGATGAGGAATTATCTCCTAATATGTCAGTCTAATGCCTAAGTATCCTTTTGCAAACTGGAGCAAAGGTGATTCTTGTTATGTTTTAGCAAAGAGACTGGCAGCATTTTGCCCCTGCCCTAGAGATTTTTGAGAGAGATGATTTACAGTATCTGGTGGAAAAAATTTCTAAGCAGCAAAGTATTCAAAAAGGGGCTTGGGTGCTATTAAAAGCATTCCATTTTAAAAGAGAAACAGCATAAAAGTTCAGAAAATTTGCAGCCTGGCAATGTAGCAGAAATGAAAAACCCTTTTTCTGAGGAGAAATGCAATCTGGTTGCAGATATTTGCATAAGTAACAAGGAGCTGAATGTTAATCCCCTAGACAATGGAGAAAATGTCTCCAGGGCATGTCACAGGTCTTCATGGCAACCCCTCCCATAACAGACCCAGAAGCCTAGGAGGAAAAAAATGGCTTTGTGGGCCGGGCCCACAGTTTCCGCACTGTGTGCAGCATACGGACTTGGTACCCTGCTTCTCAGCCACTCCAGCCATTGCTAAAAGGGACCAAGGTAAAACTCGGCCCAAGGTTTCAGAGGGTGCAAGCCCTAAACCTTGGCAGCTTCCACATGGTGTTGAGCCTGAGGGTGCAGAGAAGTCAAGAATTAAGGTTTGGGAACCTCTGCCTAGATTTCAGAAGATGTATGGAAACACCTGGATGCCCAGGCAGAAGTTTGCTGCAGGGGTGGGGCCCTCATGGAGAACCTCTGCTAGGGCAGCACAGAAGGGAAATGTGGGGTTGATGGCCCCCCACAGTGTCTCTACTGGGGCACCACTTAGTGGAGCTGTGAGAAGGGGGCCACCATCCTCCAGACCCCAAAATGGTAGATCCACCAGCTTGCACCATGTGCCTGGAAAAGCCGCACTCAATGCCAGCCTGTGAAAGCAGCCAGCAGGGAGGCTATACCCTGCAAAGCCACAGTGAGGGAGCTGCCCAAGACCATGGGAACCCACCTCTCACATCAGCGTGACCTGTGTGAGACCTGGAATCAAGGGAGATCATTTTGGAGCTTTAAAATTTGACTGCCCCACTGGATTTTGGACTTGCATGGACCTTGTAACCACTTTGTTTTGGCCAATTTCTCCCATTTGGAATGGCTGTATTTACCCAATATCTGCACCCCTGTTGTATCTAGGAAATAAATAGTTTGCTTTTGATTTTACAGACTCATAGGCAGAAGGGACTTGCCTTGTCTCAGATGAGACTTTGGACTGTGGACTTTTGGATGCCGAAATGAGTTAAGACTTTGTGGGACTGTTAGGAAGGCATGATTGGTTTTGAAATGTGAAGAGATGAGATTGGAGGGACGATGGGCAGAATGATATGGTTTGGCTCTGTGTCCCCACCCAAATCTCATCTTGATTGTACTCCCGTAATTCCCACATGTTGTGGGAGGGACCTGGTGGGAGATCATTTGAATCATGGGTGCTGTTCCCCCCATACTGTTCTTGTGGTAGTGAATAAGTCTCACAAGATCTGTTGGTTTTATCAGGGGTATCCATTTTTTCATCTTTCTCATTTTCTCCTGCCTCTACCATGTAAGAAGTGCCTTTCACCTCCTGCCATGATTCTGAGGGCTCCCAGCCATGTGGAACTGTAAGTCCAATTAAACCTCTTTTTCTTCCCAGTCTTGAGTATGTCTTTATCAGCAGCGTGAAAACAGACTAATACAGTGCCTCATAACTAACTCTCTTTTATTTAACTTTTGTATTTATATATTCATATTTAATATTCAAAAAACTGCCATGAACCAACCACTTAACACAACTGACTAATGTAGGAGCTTTAAAATTTGACCGCCCCACTGGATATCAGACTTGCATGGGCCAGTAGCCACATGTGACTATTTAAATTTAAATTAATAAAAATTAAGTAATATTAAAAATTCAGTTACTCATGAACACCAGCCACATTTCAAGGACTCAATAATCACATGGGACTAGTAGCTACCATACTGTACAGAACAGATTACAGAACATTTCCATCACTGCAGAAAGTTCTATTTGGGACGGGCATGGTGGCTCGCACCTGTAATCCCAGCACTTTGGGAGCCAAGACTGGTGGATTGCTTGGGCCTAGGAGTTCAAGACCAGCCTGGACAACATGGGGAAGCCCTGTCTCTACAAAAAATACAAAAATTAGCTGGGTGTGGTGGTGCACACCTGTAGTCCTAGCTACCCAGGAGGCTGGGGTGGGAGGATCACCTGAGCCCAGGGAGGTCTAGCCTGGGTAACAGAGTGAGACCTGTCTCAAGGCGAAAAAAAAAAAAAAGAAAGTTCCATTGGACAATACTAGAAAATACACTTAGGTTATATTTTAGAACTTTTTCTAATGAACTTAATTGGATTAATCATGATCTCTGCTTCATGAAACATCACTGGTTTATGCTGATACTTTTTTATCTGATTTGATCATTTCTAAAGAAATTGTAATGAGCAACCATAAATCCAATCTCTTACTCCACTAATAGAACACTGACATCATCTTTCATCTCTTTGTGTGCTCCTTGGTCAGAGTAAACAGCCCAGATTTCTATTTATGGGCAAACGTGTAAATAAACTATGTACATGTACAAAATGAAATACAAAACAGCTGGTAAAGGAAGTTAAACGAGGTAGGTTATTTGTATGGCAGTCAGAATTTAATTAACTATAATCCTTTCATTCTTGGACCATTCTCATCGCCAGTCCATGTTTTGGCCTTTTGTTTATTTTACACACTTATGTAATTATTTATTTATTTTTAGTACTAAAATCAACATCCAACATGCCACCATGCAAAAACAAGAATATTAACTAACTCTTTAACCAATGCACTTTTAAAGGGGTCTTGGATGAACTGAATTGGAATAATCACAATTCTAGGATAATGAGTGTTGTACTTTCCTCTAACATGGTCTTGAGGTCTGTCTCAAGAGAGTGAATATAAATTCTAGCTCTGCCTGATGGGGATCCAGGAGGGGTGGTCAGTGTGTCTTTTATCACAGCATGGGATACGTGTTATTAAAAATTCAGTTACTCATGAACACCAGCCACATTTCAAGGACTCAATAATCACATGGGACTAGTAGCTACCATACTGTACAGAACAGATTACAGAACATTTCCATCACTGCAGAAAGTTCTATTTGGGACGGGCATGGTGGCTCACACCTGTAATCCCAGGTTCGCACCTGGGATACGTCTTTATCCCAGCAGACAGTCTAATGTCTAAGTATCCTATCTGTTACCAGGTGTCCCTCTCACAGGAAACTTATTTACACTGACAGTCCCCCTGTGGTTCTTGTCTGACCTATGTCCAGTCTATTCCTACCAAGGTAGCTACTCTCTAGGAGATCCCTGACCAGTAAAGAAGTTCGATAGAAGTGTGTTGGTCAGGTGAGACACAGAGGAAGCAACTCAACAAAACCCTTGAAATGAAACAACAGAAGCAGTTTATTACTTACAGATCCTGCATGCCTCAAAGGACCAGTGGAAAGGGAAAAGCCTGTATTGCAGGCTATGGCATTTCCCAAGCAGGTTTCCTGCTGAGAGTTCTCACTGGTGCATTTAGAGCAAGCCAGTATAACTGTGTGGTCCACATAGGCTGTGGGGTCAGTGTATCTAGCTGTTCCTTAGGAAGGTAGTATCCTGGAGGTGGCTGTACAAGGTAGTTATCTGGATCTATCACATTAAGAACTGGGAGGAGATGGAGAACTACAAACTGTGTCAAGGGTGACTAAGCCTGCTTCTGGAATGAGAAAGTTAAACTTAGGTTCGAAATGCATGCTGAAGCTACATACAATAAAAAGAAATTACGACAATGAGATATGATCACCTTTGTCCCATGTTTGCTCTCTCTTGTTTTATTCATGTGTTTGTTCATTCATTCATTTACTTATTTATGAACACCCTTGAACAACTCTCCAGCCAAGATTTAAGAAGATCAACTATTAATTACATTTTCTTTAAGTACCTTATCTACCCAAGTAAGAATAAAAATTCTCATAAATGTTACATGACTACATAAACTACGATTTGTCCATTCTGTGCAACAAACAGCAACTATTAGAAAATTAAACACCCTGGATCATTTTTAATGGCCTTTACTTGTGTAGAATTTAATTAATAAGCCTCACTTTATATGAAATATTATCCTCATTATCTATGCTTGGCCCTTTTAAATTTTATTTATCACTTTAAACAAAAATCATGAAAGAACAATGATGAATCCTATTCAACAAACAGAAAATGGCCAATAACTTACCTCCCTATGTGACCCTCTGCCACCGACTTAACATCCCAAACTTCTTCAATAGGGAAGTGTTGATGCAAAAGTGTAGTGCATAAATTAATAGTGGAATGCTACTGAAATCAATGAAACAGCATAAATATTTGTGTTTTGATGTCTCTCCAATTTGCAGAACTGTGCAATCATAAATCTTAGATCATGATATATTGTCTTCATTAGTCCATGCTTGACTCTCTTTGATCTTGTTTATACATGCATCTATTTATGTTTAATTACCCCATAAACATATATATACCCACCCCCAGCCTGAAAACACAAAAAATAAACAGAATACATATTACATATGTGATATATACAGGATACATGTATAAACATAACACATGATATATGTGATATATATGTAGGATATGTGTGTGTGTATGTGTGTGTGTGTGTGTGCGCTTTTTTTTCTTTGCTCATTTGCTACAGAGAACAGCCCAGTAATATTGTGTTTTAATTTGGTGACAGTTATGCTAAATGAAATTAATCACCCTTGGTTCATGACATTCTCATCATGCCTGTCATCTTTGACTTTATTTACGTGTTGATTCACGTTTAATAATGTAATAAACCATCAACCAACCACCCAACTTCAAAACAACAACACTAAACATTACTCACATTGGTTGGTTCATGGCTCATTTTCCACAGAGGTCACAATCAAGATCTTCATCGACAACGTGTCATTAATGTCACTCTGGAGCCTCCATTCTGTGGAACACAAGGCAGATATTAAAAAGGATGAAAAAAACTAGATATTTTTAATGGCCATCAGGTGAGAAGCACAGTATTAATCATAATCTTTAGGTCATGACAGTCTCACCACTGGCCCAATCACAGCTCTCCTTGTATTCAATTATTCATTTATTAATTTGTATTATTACAATGAGTATGTATTAATTCGCCACTCTAATCAAAAACAAGAATCATGACTATCACAAACATAGGTCCCTACACATCTTACCCAAGAGGGAGCCAGCTCAGATATTCTTCCTAACAGACGCAGATGATGCAGACTTGGAGTAACAATCATATTTGACTCCTACTCACCCTTTTCAATGTTTTCACTTATTTTTTTAAACACAGTAAACACAGATGAACCCACCACTGATCCAGAACAAAAATATTGATTAGTACATCCAAATACTTCTTATCCACTGAGATAAAAGTCTTGTTTTATTTTAAATAGTCCATAATTGTACATAACGGTGGATGAATCTTAATCTTTAGGTCATAAAACATTGTCTTTGTGGTCCATTCTTGACATTCTTTCATTTCATCACTTTTGTACTCACTGAATTCATTTTTAACTATGCAGCCACCACACTTGAAGTCACCATTTAGCCCAAGACCAGTGATTATTCTGTATACCTGTTGATATACTGCCTACTGTCAGCCTCAACAGCCTAGAACCTGGCTTTTGTTTTGGAATAAGCTCACAGAAGCAGAGACTAGAAAGGTGGTTACTAGGGGTCAGGAGTGAGAGGAATCTGGAGATCTTAGAGAATGCAGACTCTCAGTCAGGAGTAAGTTCTGGTGACCCAATGCAGAGTACGGTGACTACAGTTAATAATAATGTACTGCATGCTTGAAATTTGCTAAAAGAATAGACCTTACGTGTTCTCACTGCACACACAGAAAAAGGGAACTATATGAGATGATGGATATGTTAATTTGCTTGATTATGGTAATCATTTCACAATATATATGTATATCAAAATGTCACACTGTACAACTTAAATACATACAATACAAATACATATAATATTTATTTGTCAATGATATATTTTTGAAGCTGGGGAGTGAGGAACACATTGCCATCATTGGTACATGCTTGGCTGTCTCTAGTTTTATTTGCACATTCATTCATTTTTAACTGTTCAATCAACACCCATGAAGCCGACTTTTATTTGTCTGCACTCACCTTCTCTGGCAGAGAAACCCCAGTGTGCCCATTCTATGGAAAATAAAGCTGGTTAAAAAAAAGAAACTGGCCTACAAGGCCTTTTTTGTTTGTTAATATCAGGTTACCAGACCTGGATTAGTCATAATCCTTTGCCTAGAACACATTTTCAAAATTGTTCCAATCGAGGCCTTTATTACCTTATTTCTTTATTCCTTGATTATTTTTAACAACAAAATTAATAGCCACAAACTGCTCTGATCTCTTTTTTTAATGCCCCTCAGTTGTGGAGAATTAATCACCATCCCTGGTTTACAACCCACTCCCGTCCTTCCTGCTGGCATGCCTCTCTCTTATTGTATTGATTGTTAAAACCACCCATGACAATTACCACTGGTGGTTCCCACCTCCATCCCTTCCCTTCTCATGCCCCTGCCTCCCTCTACCTTAAACAACCACTCCAAATATCCTGAATACAATCCCTTTCCAGATATATATATATATAAATTTACAACATATATGTAATATATGTATTCTTATTTTTCATGGATCAGTGGCTTGCAGGAGTTTTCAGTGAAGGCTAAAAAGAAGGGTCAAGGGAGAATGTGAAATATACAAGCTTGAGTTCAGAGCACACTCACGGCTGGGGGGTTGGTAAAAGCCCTCAAACCCAGATCGCTGAGCCATCTGCACCTGTGCTCACTTCATGAGCCAGTGGGCCCAACGGGTACAGCACATATGCTCACACCTCAGTACCCACCTCCCAAATCCAGCCTCAACGCCAGACTAGCTGGGTGACATCAGGAAAACGAGCTAATGTCTCTGTGCCTGTTTCCCCATCAGCAAGATAGTCGCAGCACTAGTCCCCAAGCAAAGTTATGTTATTATTTTCATGCCAATGGCAACCAGGTTAAAAAAACAAACAAACAAAACCCTCCACCCCACGTCTGAGCCCCTCCCTCACCCAAATCTTGGCTCCCTCTGCAGCAGCGCCCGAGCTCTGGTGTTAGACAGACAGACAGACCAGGTTCCACCCCAGCAGGCACTCGTGAGCTGTGTAACTGCAGAGACGTGACCTGGCTTCTCTGTCTTGTGCCCCGACTTGTACGATTTGTAGAATGAGGAACGCAGCGCCCTCGTGGGTCCAACCGGAGGGTGACCTGAACTATCGCCCATCCCTCAAGTAGCCTGCCTTGCACACCTGCGCACACCCCACCCTTTCCCCGTCCCGTGACGCCCACCTGACTGGTTAAACAGTCCCCAGTTTGATCAAAGAAATGAATTAGCTCAACGCTCAGATCAAGTCAAGGGTTTGGGACTCGGGCAGGGAATTGTTGGGGGTCTGTTCTTTTTTGGACACGGCATCAGAGCTTAAACAAGTACCCTGAAAAACAGAAATCCAACTAAGAGATGCGCTTTGGAAAATGAAAATTCATTTTGTGAAATCGGACTGCCCTTGGAGAAGTCTATGCCATGAGATTCTTGATGTTCAAACTTGATTCCAAGAAACCCAAAGAGGCTTCACTATGGGCCTTGGCAATGATACACAGCCAGTTTCCTTCCTATCCCTGCAGCCTGTCCTGGGTGTGCACCATCTGGCACAACTGGCCTCAGAGCAACTCAGGGACCTGAAAATAATTCTATATATTATATAGAGTTATGGGGTACATATATAATGTCATATACACATCAATCTGTCCGTTGGGGGACTTTCATGAGAGAGTCGTGGGAAGACCACTAGTGTGGCGCCCTGCTCCTCCTGCCTTCTTCATACTGTGGGGCCTTGGGGAAAACCTGTCCCCTCCCTGAGCCTCAGGTGGCGATCATCCCACCAGCCTTTCCTCCCTCCCAAGTGGTGTGAAAATGAAAAGCATAACATTTTAAGTGCAAGTTCCCTCCAAGCAGCAGGGATCATTAATATTGTACCTCCTGTACCCAGCACGCAGTGTTCACAGCATGCCTCAGCATACATTATCTCGTTTGATTCTCACAACAGGCCTGTGAATTAGACATAATAATCATAATTAGCCAATATTTATTGAATGCGTACTCTGTACCAAGCACCATGCTGCCTACTTTGCATACATTGACACTCCTCTGGAGTAGATACGATTCAATAGTATCTCATAAATTTTTCCCCCAAAATTTTTGAGCATGTACTTTGTACTGGTGCTGGGTCTAAGTGCCGGGGATACAGTAGTGAACAAAATGGACAGATCCCCATCCCATGAGAATTAACATCCCTGTGGGTGGAGATAGGAACAGAAAATCATCAGAAAAGGTAAAGCCTAATGCATGGAATAAAAGACGGTGATAAGAACTAGGGAAGAAAATAAAGCAGGACAGGGGCAGGGAGTGACACGAGGGAGGAAGCCTCACAGAGATGATGATATTTGAGCAAAGCATTACTAGTCCTATTTTATACCTAAGTAAACTGAGACTCAGAGAAGTTAGATGACTTATAAGTGGTCACACAGCAAGGAGATGCTGAGCCGGGAGGCGAACCCAGGCAGTGTTGCTCCGGAGTCAGCCTTCCCACTTCTTCCCGATGCCTCATTTTGGCAGCAGTGACCCACTGCCAGCCGGCAATGTGAGTGTGAGAATAAATCACGTTGCGGGGGGTGGGGCTGCAAAGGTGTTTCTGACCTCCCACACAGGCAGCCCCAGAAGCAGAGGTTATCCCCAGGATGTACCATTAGACCCGGATGAATAAATAAACTGTCCATCTTGGAGGAGCTGCAGGGGCAACATTTCTTACAGGACTTCACAGAATCTGAAGTCAGGCAATGCTGGGATCACAGCTTAGACTCAACACAGCCCAGCAAGTCAGCACCAATGCTAGACCCATCTCCTCCCACCTGGCTGTTAGGGCATCCGATTGCACCCCGCCAGAGGCAGCCCATGTGCAGCCACATGCCACCTAGGCTTAAGTTACAGATGTGCTGCCCCAGGAATGGAAGGAGGCTTCCCAGTCCTCATGCCCCACATGGTAAGAGACTCAGAATTTTTCCAACTGGCTACCTCCAAAAGAGCAAGTCAAGAAACATTTCTAAAGTGACCATTTCTCCCCCAAAAAAACAGGTAGGGAAAGTTTAATGAAATCATATATGAGAACTGGGGAACCTTGCTCACTACTGCTAGAAACCATGAAGTTTAATGAATTTTAACCTCAGAAACTTCGATTCACAGGACTGTAATTATTTATCTTGCCTTTTACCTACTCAGCTTCTTCCCAGCTCCCAGGCAACCCCTGTGTAAGCCCCTATACCACAGGTAAATTCCTTCACGGGAGTCTCACCTCTCTTAGGGCTTCATCTTTCCTTAGATGGATCATGCCCATTTGCTGCGTAGAACTCTCACTTCTATCACTAGCACTTGCAGTTTTAAATGAGTATTTTTGTTTCCATTTCACTGATTCATTCTCCAAAGACAAGCACACAGGCCTCTCTGAGCACCTGTTCGGCTATTGGTAAAATGTGGAGAACGATTCTTACCTGCCTGTCATCAAATGACACCTCAATAACAACACTTGTAACCACTGTAATTTTCATTGTAAGTAAATATTTATTGAATGCTCATCATCTGGGAAGCATTCTTTTTTTTGTTTTTGTTTTTGTTTTTTTTTGGAGACAGGGTTTCCCTCTGTCACCCAGGCTAAAGTGCAGTGGCACAATCATGGCTCACTGCAGCCTTGACCTCCCAGGCCCAAGCAATCTTCCCATCTCAGCCTCCCAGGTAACTAGGACCACAGATGTGCACCACTACACCCAGATAATTTTTAAATATTTTGTAGAGATTGGGGTCTCCCTATGTTTCTCAGGCTGGTCTCGAACTCCTGGGCTCAACGGATCCTCCCACCTCAGCCTCCCAAAGTGCTGGGATTACAGGCACAAGCCACCATGCCCAGCCTGGAATGCTCTCTTTTAAGGAATTTATATGTTTGCCTCATTTAATCCTCAAGTACTCATTAGTAAGGTACTATTGGTATTAGTAAAGTACTATTGGTAGAACTGAAGAAAACGGGGCACGGAAATTAAATACCTTGTCCAAATTCATGAAAGTAGTCAATGGCAAAGCTGAGATTGAAACCCTAGCACCTAGAGTGTGTGAAGCAGGGCCTAGCCCATAAGCAGGTTCTCAAAACCTATCCGCTAATATTAACCCAGGTCTGCAGCGAGGCTTACTGATTCACCATTCAGCCCTCCACCCAGTCCCCTCCCTCCTTGCCTTGCAATGGACTCATTTTTACATCTGCTACCATTAGCATTCAGTCAGAATATGAGATGCCAGGAATCTAATTTGACTTGATTAATTGTACTGTAGGATGCCAGTGATATGTGTGGCCCTTGCTTGTGTGATCATTACAAATAGAATACACTAGAGATATTACTTGGGAAATAAGCTTGGATTTGATTGGATGAGAAGTTCAGCTCACTGACAGACCAAGTGAGTGAGTCCAGCATAAGACAACCCCAAGGCAGATTTCTTCAGACACGGTCACAGAGAAAAGGAGATAAACAGGTTGAGCGGATGAGTTTGGAAGGAAAGAAGACTCAAGTTCAAATCCTGGGTCTGCATTTCCTCCCTATATGATTTCGGGTAAGTCACTTACCACTCCCAAACTTCAGTTTCCTTTTCACTTAATTGAGAATGGAAATTGCTATCGTGGAGGGTGGCTGTGATGATTTAGAGGAGATAAAATTATGCCAAGTGCCAGCGAAGGGCTGAGTATGCGGTTGGGGCTTAGGGCTTAGTCATCCAGGAGAGCCAGTGGAAAGACGGATGCCTGCTATTCCCTCAGTGCTGCATGAAAGCAGCAGAGACAGAGAGTTGCCACTGAGCAGCTCCAGCACCACAGCTGGGACTTGGTCCCTGTAAGCTGGCATCCCACCTGTTGTCCCAGAGCCACCTGAGCCAGTCAGTGTGCTCAGAAGCAGAACAGAAGGCAGGAGCTTCACCAGCGAGCTCCATTCAGAGGGAACCTCTCTTCAAAGATCAAGTAAGCCTTTGATCTTGGTGAGAAATTGACTATTCTCTCTCATTCCTCTCTCCTTCCACCACCTGTGCTTCAACTCACTCATCCATATAACTAGCATTCATCAGGTAGCCAGTCATCTCTCCATCTATGCATGCATCTTGATGCAGGCATCCATCCCTCCCTCAGACCTGACATCCATCCTTCCACCTCTCCATTTTGCAGAGGAATCACACAGACCTGAGTTGGAATCCTGGGTCTTGCTTCCTAGCCGATCTTGGGCAAGTCACTAACCTCTCAAAGTCCTCTAATCTGTAAAATAAAGGGAAATCAGATGTCGCCGGAGCGAGGATTTAAAGAGAGTGTAGACGTACCAGTGTCTGGCCTCAGCAAAGTCACTACATGTTCATTCCCTCTGCTCCTGCAATCTGGTTGGGATTTATGCAAGGAAAAAAACCACTGCATCTTTTGCATGACACGTTGAGAAGTGCTTTTTAGAAATTATCTGAGATGTTTTAGTGGTGTGCATCCCCCAGCGGTACCCCCAGGGCTGGGCAGTGGCTACAGCGGTTTGGGGTGGTGGTACCCCCTGGACTCACAGTAGAGAGTGCCATCTAGTGGATAGGCACCTGCCGGGGTCCCCCGTTGGTCCCGGGTCACAACAGCTGAGGTCAGGCAGCTGAATGGCGAGCCAGGAGGGCCAAGCGAACCCAGCCCCGAGACGGTAGGCTGCCCTTTTTGGGATGTAGTGCATGTGCTGTTTTAACCACTCACGGGGCCTGGACTGCCAGGAGCCTTTTGTTTTATGGACGATAGCCAGCTATGTTTTGCCTACCCCTGCCCAACTCCCCTTTAAAGATTTCTGGGAAAAAGAATCATTCTCGCAGCTACTGTTTGCTGAGTGTCTCTGACATATTAGACATGAGGCTGGGGGCTTCAGGGGTTAATGGTCTAACCCTCTCAGTGACCCAAGGAGAGACCCAGAACTTGCTCCATTTTCAGTGAGAACACTGAGGTTTGCTGAGGTTGAGTTTCTCATTTAAGGTCCAGGCAGATATTCAACCCCTAAATTTGTAGCCATACTTACCTTCTAGAGCCCTAGATCCTCTTGAAAGGGCAGGAGATAGTTTGAACACTGATTTGACCAAGCCAACTGTAAAAGAAATTTATGAGTCAATCAAGAATATCTGAATGCTGCGTAGATGTTGGATGATATTAAGGAAACGTTATTAATTTTTAACTGTAATAAAGGTATTGTGGCTATATTTTTAAGAAAGAAAAGCTTATTTAGAGATACAAACTAAAAAATGCTCAGAGGAAACAATATGGTGTCTGAAATTTGCTTTGAAATAGTCCAGGGGCAGGGGCTGGGGAGTGGGGGTAGAGGCACAGTTTAGGGTTTAGACAAAATAAGAGGGGCCAGGGTTTGATGGCATCCATTTCCAGGTGATGGCAATATGAAAATTGAGTAAACTGTAAAAATACGTACTATTTTCTCTAATTTTATGTTGTTTGAAATGTCCCATAATAAAGGGATTTTTAAATCAACAAGTGAAAATACAGTGCAGGAGATGAAGGGCTGGGTGTGGAGGGTGCATTTAAAAGAACAGAGGGGCCTGGGGTATGAGAGAAATCTTTCAGGGTAGCAGGGAACTGATTCGCAGGGGGCAAACGCCTCAAAGTGAAAAGGGAGCTAGAGGGGCTGTAACCAGAGGGAAGAGAATCATTCCACGTCGGGTGGACCGAGGACGATGTACCAGGGTGCAGAGTGCTACAGAACAAGACACCCACCAGCTGCCCAGAGACCTTCCTGCACCCCGCAGCGCTCCTCTCCCCACTCTCCCTCCCAGCCCCTGCCTCCCCAAGTCCTCCAGCTCTCTCCCTGACCCCCAGGCCCTTCCCTGACTGGAAAAAGGCCTGAGGGTACCACTCTTTAAGGCAGAGCGGCCACCTGATGAGCCCTTCCCTGGGACTCGGGTCCCAGCTTGGTTACTGGGACAACGCTGTCTCCCATTGGACATGCTTTGAAGGAAGACCCTGGAGCGGCCGGCTCAGTCATGCTGGGAAGGATTCAGCTGTCTAGCTTTCAAATGCCTTTTTTTCTTTTTTTTTCTTTTTTTTCTTTCTTTCTTTTGGGGGCTGGGGTTTATTTCTTTTGGAAAGATAAGAGTTGATGCTTTTACCCTAAAACTGTGTGCCAAGCTGCTCTGGCTATCCTCAGCCCCACTCTTCCCTGTATCTCTGTAGCCCTCCTTTCCGTCCTTCATAGGCTGACTGGCGCCCGACCCCAGGTCCACACCCACCTCCAGCTACCCCCTGGTCCACCCACCACGCCCGGCCTCCTCCCCTACTCTTCTCTTTCTGGCCCCGCTGCAGAGTCTCGGGCCCCTCGGCTTCCTGGGCGCCTGGCCACCACGCAGCGCCTGGAAGTGCTCCCTCCCTCATCTCTCATTCCCCACTTTGGAAAGCCGGCCACCGGACAGGACAGCTCCCGGGACAGCTCCCGCAGCCTGCTGCATTGCAGCGCAGCCGTCTGTGAGGGAGGGGCGCAACCTGCAGCCCCCGCCCCCCGGCCCCGGCCACCCCCGCCCAGCAGCCCCCAGCCCCGGCACTGCCGGCCGGCTCCCCCGCCGCACGCCGCACGCATCTGTCGCAGTTAAAAGCGCCGCTGCCAGAGCAAAAGCGCTGGTTCCTCTTCACTGTCCCCCTCCTCACTTTTCGGGCTCAAAAATGTGGCCCAGGCAGCCCCCTTGTGGCACGTGGGGGCGCCACAGACTCTTGGCTGGTGTCTGAAGAATTCAGACTGATTCCACCGCACCGTGAGTTGGCACAAATCTTCGGTGGCCCAACTCCTACCCGATGCAGAACTCTGTTCAGCGGCCTCTCTGAGTCGGGGGCACCTCTCCCCTCCCCTCTGCCTGTCGTCCACACCTCTCCCTTCTCCCTCCAGGAAGGAACCGAAGAAACTCTCCTGTTGAATATTGCTCTGACAAGCAGACAGGTGTCTGGCAACCGTGATTGTGGTGGTGGGGGAAGAGGGGGGCCAGGAAGGTGGTGGGAATGGGGGTTTTTCTCGAAATGATGTTTGGTTTCCATCTCTTATCTCACAGATGGGAAACCGAGGTGCGGGGAGGGCCATAGTCCCTGTTTGTGTCAGAGTCAAGGCTGGAGATTCTCCTGCAAGTCCAGCCTGGGGCATTTCCCTGAGGTGCTGGGGCGCCCTTAAGACGTGCCCCCTCTTCCCCCTCCCACTTGTCCAGCCCCAACCCCTCCAGATCTGGTTCTCCCTGTCCGGAAGCCCTGGAGGGCCCCTGGATGTTCTCCGTCCTCTCTAACTCACTGTCCACACAAACAAGCCCAGCCCCCTCTGTCTCTATCTGCAATCTACTTGCAGACAGGCAGGGCCCTCTCCACATCAGGTTAATAATGCCATTTTCATAAGCCTCTGCCCATAGGTGCTACCACCTAATTTTGAATCTGCCCTTCAAACGGATTGGGCCACAGAGGAGCTGGGATCTCAAGCACCGCTGGGAGGTGCTTATAACTAATCAATCCGTCCCCTGCCCACCCACACCCCCCCAGCACTCGGCACAGCCTCGCTGAGCAGCCTTCAGCAGCAGGGTGTGGTGGGGAGCCTTGGATAGTCTGGGGTTCCATCCTGGCCCAGCCTCACACCAGCTGAGAGACGGTGAGTATAGGACTTTGCCTTTCTGTGCCTCAGTTTCCTCATCAATCTAATGGGGCTCATGAGACCAGTGTGCAGGGTTATTGCCCGGGTGAGTTCTTTGCAGACAACCCAGTTCGGGACTTGGCTCCAAGATGGGGCTCTATAAATCTCCATGCCTGCATCCCCTCTCGATCACCTCGATTTCCAGTGACTTATTCCCTGTTTGTTTCCCCACCAGACCGACTGAGCTTCGAGGACAGGAAGCCACCGGCATCACTTCATCCCCAGCCTCACGCTTGGGACCGGGCCCGGGGAAGGTAGGTATACTGCGGTGGCTTGGAGAATGAGTGCATGGATGGATGTCTATCCCACAGTCTATGGGATGCCTGGACCCCGCTGGTTTTCTCCTCCCCAGATCCCTCCCTGTCTAAGCTGGTCCTTCAAGGAAGCCACCGGGAAAAATGTTCCTTTATGCCTTCATGCTTTACCCCTCGTGCTGTTATATACAATGCAAATTCTCGGTCTATTAAATGCAGATGTGGGCTCTGCATGTCATTTCTGCTGCCTGCTGTATCTACTGTGAGTTCCGCAGGCCAGGGGCTGCCTCCGGCTGACTTGATTTGTGCGATTAAGCCAGCAGAGGGGACTCTGCCAGGAGAGGTTCCCGTTTGTATTGGGAGCGGGGTCTTGAAAGGCCAGGCTGTTTTCTCTCTTGCGACACTTGTTACATACCTCTCTCCCTCCCTGGGTCCCACCGTCTACTCCATAAGCATTTATGAAGTGTCTGATGTGTGCAAGCCTACACTTATCTCATTTAGTCCTCACTTCAAGCCAGTGACGGAGAAACTCTCATCTCCATTTCACGGGGGAAAAGCTGAGACTCTGAAAAGTAAAGGGAATTGTCTCGCAGCTAGAGAGCAGGGAGTCAAGCCGGTCTGTCTGGCTCAGGAGCCCCCAGCCCTGCCGCAGCTGCCTGCTGCTGCTGCTGCTGCTACTGCAGGGCTGACCAGGGCTGGCCGGGAGGCCAGCAGCTCCTGCAGAAAAGGCAGGGGGCTGCGTAGAGAGCGTTCTCCCTGGCAACTGGAAAAGGGGCCATAGAAAACCCGAGAGGGCTTAGAAGCCACTGAACAGATAGACACGGAGCAGCTGGCCCCAGGAGGGGAGCACCACGCCCTCCCCTGGGCTTTTAGCAGAACAGCAGGGCAAAGGGCTTTGTCCCAGGTCTAAAGGAGCAGAGACGGAAGTGTTAGGACAGGTGTAGAGGCCCCCAAACCTGTTCCCACCATTGGTGGGGGTTTTGCCATTTAGCACAGAAAGGAGATGACTGAAAAGAGAGGGAGCCTGCAGAGATCGGAGGGCAGAGGGGGCAAGGAGGCTGCCGCACAGCCGAGGAGGCAGATGCAAAAGACAGGGGAGGGCTCCGCAAAGCAGCTCTGTGTGTGAGCCCTGAGCAGGCTGCTTGGGAAGAGAGGGAGCTCCCTGTTACAGGAGGCATCCGAGGGGAGAGAGGCAGGCCGGTGCTTGGCTGGGGAGGCTGCAGCATGGCTCCCTGCCCGGGCTGGTGGCCCACATGTTTAGGCCTTTGAGAAGCTCCTACAGCACCAACTCCCGAGCCGGCAAGCGGGCAAGTGAGCGAGGCAGCCAGAGGGGACCAGGCAGGGGTCAGTGTGAGACCATTTGGCCTCTCCCAAGTAGCTTGCCCTGGGCTAAATGGCAAAGGCACAGAGATGGTTGGCGGGGTGCCTCTGTCCCAATAAGGCAATGAGGGAGAGGAGCAGAGAATGGAGGTGAGTGCCCGGGGCTGGTGGGGAGAGGTGGGGACTGTCCTGCAGCCAACTCCCCTCTTGAGGGCCAGAACACCTAGAGTGGCCAAGCAGCTGCCCTGTCTCCTGGGCCCACAGAGGCTGGCCTGTGTCCTCTCTGGGGCAACAGGCTGGCAGAGTGAGTGGAAGGAGCAAGGGGGTCTGGCAGGTTGAGGGGCCCTTATCTGGAGGCTGAGCAGCAACCACAGATGCAGCCAGCTGCCAGCCTGTGACTTAGATGTTCTGGGGACTCATGAAAGCTCCTCACACAGTGACTGGGCTGGGGGGCCTGCCTGCTGATGAATGCAGCCTACACTGGAGTCGGGAGCTGTCTCTCCTGGCCCATTCACAGGGGTTCAGTTCCCAGGAACTGTGGGTAGACAGAGCCTTTATCAGGGGACCTCTGCTAGACAAGCCTCTGTTTTGCAGTTTCTAAAGGAGTTTTCTTGCCTTTGTTCCCAGTGCAGGCACTCAGCATGTGCGTGTGTGTGCACATGTGTGTGCATGTGCATGTGTGCATATGGGGGATGACTGTGAGGCCAGCCAGGGCTCCTTGTCTGTGAAATGCCCAAGGTCCTCAGGGGCAGAGATGCACCTCCATGGGGCAGAAAAATTTCAAGGAGGGCAGAGTCATTCAATAATGGAGCCCATCCTCACTGCCGCCTCATTGTCCTGCTCCTGACAACCCAATCTGTCAGCCCTGGGGTCGGCACAGCTGCTCCGACCCGCCGTGGGGGGGCAGCATCGTGTTGCAGGTGGAGCACGCAGGCTAGTTTGCCTTCCTGGCTAGCAGACAGACAGACTGCCCTGGCAGCTCAGTTAGGCACTGCAAGCCCTTCGGGAAAAACTGTTTTGTTTCTCGGAGCCTCTGTTTTTGTTGGTTTTTGTTGGTGCTGTTGTTTTAACCTATTAAAGGGTTGATTTGACGCTGCAGGTGTGAAAATGTTTGGGAGAGTGACATTTACATGTGTAACATAAATGGGGGAGGGGGCACAATGCAGGGGGCAGAACAAGAGGCACCCACATGGGAAATTCTGTGAACAGGGATTTCTGGTTCAGGGTAGCTGGTGGTACAGAAAGGGTTCTGGAGGGCTTTGGTGTAGATGTAAAAAGTTACCAACCCAAATCCCTATTTAGAGGCAGAAGTCACAGGGTAGCAAGCCCTTTAGCCCCTGCCGGACACAGAGGGAACACTCCCCCATACTCCTTTTTGCTCTAGCTCCGTTGCACTGTGTTTGAGGAAGTTAGGAAACGGGTTTCTGGCATGAAGCACAGGGTTAAACTGCAGAGACCTGGACAGCTCTACCTACGGCCGCAGAGAAATAGCCCCGGTGTCAGACATGTGGCTGACCAGGCTCACGCTCCTGAGTAAACAAATCAAAAATTTCGGAGAGTGGAGCCTTTGTCCACAGTGGCCGAGGAGGTTCCCTTTTGTGTAAAAGGCAACGTGCAAGTCATACTTCCACTAGGTAAGGCTGTACCGACACACAAAAAGCTCATTTAGCCTGAGCCCAGCCCAGGGAGAATTTTCTGTGAAATTTAGGAGAAGTCAGGTTTGGCCAGAAGTTTTTCCAGGAATTACGAACCTCTGGAGACTGTAACCACTGTTCCTTCCGAGCGACCCTTGCCAAAGTCTATAAAATACGAGCCTCAAAAAATCTGCCTAAGGAGAAGTCTGACTTTTTATATGTTATTTACACAAAAATAAACTCTCACCGAACTTTTCGGGAAAGCCCGATTAAAAGTGGTAGGGCAGCCCCTTCCCCAGCCCTCAGGTGTTCAAGAAAGCACCCCTTTCCCTGGGAAGGTGTCTGGGAGGGGGGCGAGCATCAGCTTTTATTTCCCCCTCACGCTCTCTCTGGTGTTTTTGTTTTCCTCCGTTGGGTCTCCCTGCCCTGAAAGGGAGCGGCAGCCTGTCTCAGGGAGGGGGTTAAGCATTTCGTGGCGGGGTAAGATGGGGAGAGCTACCGAGTTTTGCCGGGTACTGCGTGTTGGCTACTGTGCTGGATGATTTATTTGCGTTATTTCCTCATTGAGATCTCAATAGCCCTGTGTGAGAGAGATTATGAGTCCTTTTTTTTTTTTTAATATCAGGAAACCAAGGCACAGAAACACTTGGGGATTTGCCAAGGACACGCAACTCGAGTCTATTCTGTAGCTGGGTCTGTGCTTGGGGTGGCTGGCTTCCTGCAATGCCTCCTTCTCCCCTCCCCTGGGAGAGAAAAAAAGGGACCAAAAGCCCAGAACACTGCCAGTGGCTCCTGTTACTTCTGACAAGCTCCCCTGGGGGATGCTGCCTTGGCCTCAGCCCCTCTCCCCCAAAGCCTGTGCTCTTTCTAGAATATGACTCTGTCCCAAAGGTCCAAGCACTCACTCTCAGCCCTGTCCTTCCCCAGAGCCCCTCATCATTACTCCAGTTATCATGTGTCCTCCTCCTGTTCTGGGACCAGACCCGTTTACCTCTGGCAAGAAGGAGCCATAATGGCAATCAGCCATTTCTAAGCTGTAACCATACCCCAAACCTCGTCCCCCAAACTCACACCACTGAGATGCTACTCCTGCACAGTGGACCCCATGACCCTGGGTTCTGGGGCCCTGCACAAGGCAGGCATCAGGGGAACTTGGTATAGCGCAGGCTGGGGCAGTTGGGGGTGCCAGCCTGAGCCCCACCCAGAAGGGTGTTTGCAGCTTTACAACACTGCAGACTTACCCAGCGCCACAGGGCAGACGACACGATCCTCTGACACTGCCCATCTGCCCATCAGTGCAAGAAAGAATTCGAGGTGGTTTTCACTGAGGCAAAGTCAGATCCAGGCAACACTGGGGGAGCCCAGGGCTTCTAGAAAGGGACAAAGGAAGGGGAGTGATTAACAGTTGGCTAGTTTTATCAATTCTAGAAAAATGTAAAACATTCCCTTTAACTGGGAAAAAAAAATGTCAATGAGGCATCCCAATTCCAGGGTCAGGACTTTTGAACACAGTGTTTTGGGGGGCACATCTAACTTTGGGCTCCCCAGCAGGGATATTTCAAGTCTGCTCTTTAAGGCCGGAGAGAAGCTGGCTGAAAAGGCATGGCCAGGCGAAGCGTAAGAAGCAGGGAGCCCGCTGAGGAACAGGTAGCCCTGTGGGGATGAGGTGCGCCTAGCAGGGAAACAGCAGTGGGGAGGGGCTGAGGCTGGCGAGTTCCAAGCCAGACCCTAAAGGGTCTTCCGTGCCAGGATAAGGCCTTATTTTTTGGACCCCATCCCGGAAGCTCCAGGAAGTCAGATGGAGGCTTTAAAGCAAGACAGTAACAAGGTCAAAACGCCATGTTAGAAAGATCACTCAATGAAAATAAACTTTTGCAAACAATTTAACCCACCACCCCATCTCTAAGAAGCTGGGGAAAAGAACAGTCAAGGATGTGTTTACCGATTTAGCTGCAAGAATGCTCACTGCAGTGTCGTTGGTAACAAAAAAAAAAGGGAAACAGCTTAGATCTTTTTTATCGGGCATCAGTTGAGCAGAATCTATTAATTAAAACCTCGATTTGTGACACGCTTCCTCACTGATCTGCATAAGGACCATTTTTATTTTATGTATTCTTTTTTAAAAAATAATTTAATGAACACCTATGAATCTGTGACCCACTCTGACGACTAGGACTGTGACCAAAGCTTCTATCTGTACATTCTCCTCCCCCAGAGCTGAGATTTTCAACAGCAGAAAAGAGTGTAATCAACAATGGTGCATACATACCATGGAATATTAAACAGCTCTTAAAAGGATTGAATAAGCCGAGACCTATTGTCTTCTAATGGACCTCAGTATTTTGTGCAGAACTGGATTAATCATGATCTTTTGTTCATAAACACTGTCTCATCATTGGTCCAGAAAGGCCCCCTTTTATTTTGCTAATTTATGCACTCATATATTCATTTATAATAATGTCATAAACACTCGTGAACCCACTCCCCAAACCCATATCTCAGCAATTACTTACACCTGCCGCCACAATTCACCCCCACCAGGGTAAAGGACCTGAGGCTTTCATGCCAGCAGCAAGGTGGTTAAATAAACTCTGGTGTGTACAGCTCACAGGATACTGAGGTGTTGTTATAAGGAATAGTGTTGATCTTTATTATCTCTAAGCAGACTCTTGAAGGAAGAAACACAAGCTGCTGCGAGAGGAAATGTACACTATGATATAGTTTATGTAAAAAATAGTCATAGATTTTAGAGGTATATTTATCGACATATGCAAATGCACAAAAAAAATATCTGGAACCAGATGCCTGAAACTGAGAAGAGCAGTTAATTTGCTGGGGGGTGGTGGGGAGGGATGGAGGGAGGCATTAAAGATGGTTCCATCTGCAGTCGTTGATTTTTACTAATGCATGTATTAATTATCAATCCATTTCTTGCATAATTAGAATAAACATTTTATGGGGGGGGATTTAATTTGTTTGTTCGCTTGTGGGTTGTTTTTGTTTTCATTTCTGTTTTTACAAATACAAAGCAAAGGGCATGCTTGCTGACGGATTGGGAGTGGGTACATATGCCCAGAGCAAGTTCTTCAGACACAGGGGATTTACTTTATCGCAAATGTCTTTTTTTAAAAATATCTATATGCTCTCACTGGAGCCCCAAGCCTCCAAGCAGCCTGTCACTGACATGGGGCCAGCAGGTGTGTGCCCAAGGCTGTGATTTCACCACCCACAGTCCCAAATCCCTGCCAAGCTGCCCAGCACCCACGGGGGAGCGCTTTACTTTTTGGTCTTTAAGAGGACCCGAAAGCCAATGCCCTGGCCAGTGTTCTTGAAGATTAGCCGAGTGGAATGAGACCTCGGGGGAATGTGACATGAGATAGGGCCAGGCGGTGGGGACACGGGCCTCTAGAGAGCTGCGGCCCGGCGGCTCGCATTCACAACCGAGCAGGCTTGCTGGTAGGAAGCTGGGGCCTCACTGCGCCCCTTGACAGCTTGATTCCTGTGCAAAACACACCCATGTTTCCCCCTGACTCTAACCCAGAGGGACTGTGGCTAAACGGCACTGGCATTTCTAACTGTCAGCTGCAGGAGAACGGGAAGGAACCTTGCCCACCCTAGCCCACCCCCACATCCAGGGGAGGCACCCCGACTCCCATCAGAAGCCCCTCTGTCCCCAGCTCCTGCTTGCACACTAAGCTTCAGGCCCCTTGCAGCCATCATAGGCTCTCAGAGTCCTCAAACAGGCACAGGTTTACACGTGCGACAAGGATGTGACAAGCACACTCCCATCTACATAGAAAGGCACTGAGGCTCCCAGACACCAAGAAGACAAACCTAAGCCCACTTTACACCCAGCCAGTTGACACCCTCGTCCTGCTCAGTCTCCATCCGCACAGATCAGTAATTGGTTAATTGGTTAAATGTCTCCCGTCGCGCTGAGCTAATGCAGACAGAGGCCTCTGAGTACTTCTTTCCCCTCTGCCAGGCAGAGACCTATTTTCAACCATTACTTTGTGCAGAAGAAATCTGAGACAGGTTAAGCAGCCGTCGGCCCGCATGCCTCGCTCTTAATCACCTTTCCTGCATGTGAGGCTCCACTATTTATTACATAGCATTTTATTTTAGACTGGGTTTGGTTCCTGTGAAAACCTTGAAAACCTTGAGGTGATTGCCATAGTTTTGCAAATATAATTTTTTTTTTTTTTTTATTTTTTTGAGATGGAGTCTTGCTCTGTCACCCAGGCTGGAGTGCAATGGTGCGATCTCGGCTCACTGCAACCTCTGCCTCCCGGGCTCAAGCTATTCTCATGCCTCAGTCTCCTGAGTAGCTGGAACTACAGGCATGCGCCCCACGCCAAGCTAATTTTTTGTATTTTTGTAGAGACGGGGTGTCACCATGTTGGCCAGGCTAGTCTCAAACTCCTGACCTCAGGTGATCCACTCACCTCAGCCTCCCAAAGTCCTGGGATTATAAGCATGAGCCACCACACCCAGCAAATATGAAATATTTTTATGGTAAATAAAAATGCAGTGCCCAGACTGAGGTTACCTGCATCCAACCTGCAGGCTGGGGTAGCCCCAGTTGGAGACACTCCACTCCTCTCAAAGTCCGCATAAACCCAGCCAATGCCAATGAAAGATATGCCATTGCCTCAAGAAAATGCCCTCTGCAACCTCACGTCGCCCTTCCCCTCCACCCCAACCCGGCTCCCCACATCTTCCCTTTGGGTTCCAAAAAATGAGAAGGGCTTGCAAAAGGGCCATTTGGGGGCAGATCCACCTAAAATAGGTGCCTTTTCTACATGTGTTGAGCATCTACTATGTGCCAAGCATTTTCTGTTTTATTTCCTTTAAGGTATCGACCAAGGCAACTCTTGAAAGTTGCATCCCCATCCTATGTAAGACGGGGAGGATGATTTATAGCCACACGTCCACAGTCATCCATCTCCCCTAAGCAGAGCCTGCCCTATCTGACCCCCACAGTCATCCATCTCCCCTAAGCAGAGCCTGGCCTCTCTGACCTCCAGGTAGACCCCCTGAGCCCCGTCCCAGATGCCCCCATGCACATCTGTATATCATGGTGATAAACTTTAACACCACCCTTGGTTTCACATAGCAGACAAACAAGAGTAACAGGGTTATTGGGTTTTTGGATAATATACTGTGTTAAGGTTATATGACCCTGACTCCTCTCAGACCCCATCTCCCAATAGGGACTATCGGGTGGAAGAGAGAAGAGCGCACATACCTGGCAGGGCACCAAGCGAGTCTGGAAGGCTGGTCTTCTTCAAAGTCAGACTAACAGGGCTACTCACGCCTCCAAACCAGGTGCCATCCTGGGGGCAGCAGGACTGGGCCATGCCCTGGCCTCAGAAACCCCCGGACCCACTGCCCACTGGGGGCAGTGAGCCTCAGCTGCAGAATGAAGGGCTTGAGTTAGTTCCATTCTAAAGAATCTACAAATTTGCAAATTGTTGAAATTTACACATTAGGACAAGCAATATAGTTTTTCAGACCTTTTGATTTGGTCCTGGGCCAGGCATCTGCTCCCTTCCCAGGAGAAAGCAGCCATCTCCCCTTCACACCACCTGGGAGGGCGAGAAGAGAAACCGGTCACTCGTTGGCATGGCCAAATGGCATCTTGCCTCTCTGAGCCATTGCCCCAGGCCTCACCTGCTGCCAGCAGCCCTACTGTGTTCCGAGGGAAGGATGGGAGAAAGGAATCACCAGTGCAGATTAATATGAGGGAGCAGGACAAAAACCCCATGGGGTCGCAGTGTATGGGGACCCAAGGTGGAAAGGATGACCAGCCTGGGGCGCAGCCACTTAGAATGGCGCATGCAGGTGGCGGGGTCAGGAGGAAGGAGTTGCAGCTCCGGAAGCTAAATTAAGATTTACTCAGAGTCCAACAGAGGCCGGGGTCCAGACTCAAATACACATTTTTTTTCTTTTTTTTTTTTTTGTTTTTGTTTTTGAGACAGATTTTCACTCTGTTGCCCAGACTGGAGCCCAGTGGCATGATCTCGGCTCACTGCAGCCTCCATCTCTCAAATTCAAGTAATTTTCCTACCTCAGCCTCCCAAGTAGCTGGGATTACAGGCGCATGCCACCACACCCAGCAAATTTTTGTATTTTTAGTAGAAACAAGGTTTCACCGTGTCAGCCAGGCTGGTCTCGAACTCCTGACCTCAAATGATTTGTCTGCCTCGGCCACCCAATGCACTGTATTACAGGTGTGAGCCACCCCACCTAGCCAGACTCACATAAACTTTTCTATCCATTTGCTAGAGAGCAAACTGGGCGTCCAACAAAGGCAGGAGGCTTCCAGGAGCTGAAGAGCAAGGCTGCAGGGCCATGGCCAGCGAGGATGCCAGTGAGGCTGATGCTCTGGCTGGACTTAGTCCTTGCCCAGTCCAGGTTATTAAAGTTAGCATGGGCCCGGGTGGGTGGATGTATGTCCCAGGGCCTCGGATTCCTCTTCTGAAAAATGGGGATTATAAAAGGAAGGCCCTCACAGCTTCTTAGAAGGATTGAAAGAGTGAAAACCTGTAAAATGCTGAAAGCAGCGCTTGGCACATAGTAAGCACTCAGGAAGCATCACGGAGGTCCCCAATGTAGCCACATGGAAAAAAGAAGCTCATAACAGAAAGGCACACAAGCAGAGCAGGCGGGAAGACTGTGTGTGTGCACTGTGGTTGCTACTGTAGAAAATGTATGCATGTCAAAAAGACTGGACTTTCATAATTAAAGAAACAAATGTATTCAATAACTTTTTAGTGAGCAGCAAGGATCGAGTGGCACAGGACGGGAGGAGATCCACTTGAACACTTGCAGCCCACATCAAGGTAAGATGTGGGGCAGAGGTCCCATGTCGACCTCCCCCAGGGATCGGGTGGGCGGGCAGGGGAGGTGGGGCAGTGAATGGGATGGGCTGGCACTCAAGACAAGGGTTAAAGGGTTCATTTGCCTGTAAGCAAAAAACATGACATGGTGGTGAGTACTCAAGGCCTCTATTCAAATACTTGAGCAGCTATAATTAGCAGGTCCTGGACCAGCTGTCCTGTCCCTCCTCCAACACCAAATAAGCTAGAATGAGTTGGGAATGACAGCAAGCACCTTTGGGGGAGATGGAGGCAGACAGCGAGACCCCCACTCTTGTGGTCTGGATGCCCCCCAGGCCACGAGGCTGGCAGTATCAACACCATGGAATGAAGATGGCATATCTGGCCCTGAAGGTCCCGACAGGTCCCCAAATGGCAACGCCAAACCCATCCTGGGCATCTGTTCCTGCCCTCACCGTCTACCAGGGGAGAAAGGAGAAACCTGGCTTTAAACCCTGTCTCTGTCTCTCCGGGACCTTGTGCCAGCACCTCGCCCTCCGAATCCCAGTTTAACTGTGTAAGACAGCGGCACATCCCCCAACTCGTTAGGAGCAAAGTCAGTTTTAGGGGTGAATGGCTAGAATCATGCCTGACACAGAGCAGGTACTCAGAGACTCATTAAAATGTATCTAACCATCCCTTTCTGGGTCACATTCCGTCTTCCGCATGTACCCCTCACCAACTCCAGTCATCAGCCTGCCCCTCCCGGGGAAGGTCCTGTGCCCTGGGTCCATGCACTGTTGTCGCTGATAATTATGGCTCCAGAGCAGCCACTTCACCCCGCTGGACTCTAGTTTACTCACTCTCCAAGCAGGGCATCGTCCCCTTGTGGGGTTAATGGGAAAATTAAACTTGACACCGTGCATGAAATGCTGTCCAAATCTTCACCGTTCCGACTACAGTGAGTGTTCCAGAAGTGATAATTGTAAGAATTCTAATGACAGTAGCTATCCCTGACTTGTCCGTAGCATTTACAGTTTACAAAGAGCTTCACACACCCGTCCTCCCTGGGAAGGAGGTGCTCCTACCTTTCTGCAAGTTGAGAAACTGAGGTTCTGCCAGGTTAGCCAGCCTCTCATCTGCCTCCTGCCCTCATTCTAGTTCCACCAGGGCCCGAGGTGGGGCCCTCCCTGTTTGCCTTGAAGTCTTCACCTTCCTACTCTAAGAACAGCCACAATCTTAGGCCTGCAGCCACCTGGGCTCCTCCATGCAGCCCACTGGGCGAGAGTAGAGAGCAGGTTCTCTCTACTCTCGCCCAGAGTAGAGAGACAAGCAGGTTCCACTCTTACACCCCTCCCAGCCCAGGTTGGAAAATCAAGACAAGCCATTAGAAGAGACCACATGGTCTGTGCTTTCAACCATTGCTCAGATCTGGCAACCTCTGTTTAAATGAAACAATATGATGACCCCAATTTATAGGAGCAGCTGGTGGAACTAAGGCAGCAATGGGTGTCCCTGAGCTCCACCTGTTGGACCAGCCACCTCCTCTCATTACTGTTTCCCAGGGCCCCCCACAGGCACCTCTCAGGAACCCCAGAGCTACAGGAGCACAGCGAGAAGACCACTGCTCAAAGCCTCCCTGCAGACATGGGGAAACTGAGGACCTGGGAGAGGAAGGTCACGTTGACAGTCAGTGCCCATCTAGGCTAGGAGGCTGGTGCGGGCCTGTCCCTGCCCACTTGCCTTGAAAGGCAAGATCAGCCTCAGGAGCAGCTGATTGGCCCCGCTGATTTGGGCAAGACAAGGACAAGCTCACCCGTTACCCCTCGCACAGCCCCTCCCGCAGGCGGCACACGCCCCTTCCCAGGGTTATTCTGGGCAGAGTGATCCAGCTGCCCCCTGGAGCTGCCAGTCAAGCGTGGAGGGGGCAGGGACACAGCAGCAGGAGTGCTGCTGGGCCCGGGCACTGCCTGTCACTTCAGTGGCTTAGCAAGGTGAGGGGCTGAGGGTCCCTCTATAGAAGACCCCTAGCCTGCTGGGTGGTTTGGGATTTAGACACACCCTGGGGACAGCCTAGTTCTACTGTAACTCCCTGTTCCTCCTTCCAGACTCAGTTTCCCCATCACTACGATGAAGTCCAAGGCCCACGGGCCCTGGCATTCAAGGACCTTGGTCCAGACCATAGGGGAAGAGAGGGAATGTCCGAGACTGGGCTGCCCTGGGCCGAGATGCCAGCGGCCTCCCACCCTGTAAGGCTCAAGTCGTCTGTAGCCACAGTTAAGGCTGCGCAAGACTGAAGGGTCCCAGGGGGAAGGACTCCAATGTAAGCTATGCCAGGCCAGCAGCCCCGGCAGACTCCACAGTCCACTGGGACCCCCGGGACCCAACCCAAGCTCCTCATGAGGCCCTCAGGAAGCTCCCAGGAATCTCACCAGCCTCCTCACCCACTCCCACCGAATGAGCCATCCTTAACGCTTGTTCATACCGGGGAAACCAGGAAGGCTTCCAAGCCTTAAGCTGCCATGGACACATTTTAACCTTGACATGAGTTCAAGAAAATAAATAATAATAATAATCAATAAATAATAACAAACCCTCCCAGGATCCTTGCATGCCCACCCTCACTATGGCGCTACGCCTTCCATCCACAGGAAGCCAGAGCAGGCCAGGCAGCAGAGGGAGCTGCGGGGGGGTATTCATTTTGAGGCCACTTCACCCCTAAGACCCAGTAGCTATGATCCTCAAACCCAAGGAGCTCTGAGCACCACCTACATGGAGGCCAAGATGGACAGGGACCTTCACCTGACACCCATCCTGGCCGCCCAGAGAGCCAGGGGCCCCAGGTGTGACTGGGCTAATTTCTGGAGGCTAGGAGAGGGGGCATGGCCAGCATTCCAGAGAACCCACATCTCCCTTACTCCCCTTTCCATCCTCACAGCCTCCCCGCTCCTCACCAGCTTCACCTTCCTCCTCAGCCCCCCAGCCTCCCACCCCCCTCCCCTGTCCTCACCTCTCCCCTAATTCCTCCACCCCGGCCCCCCGCCCCAGGCTCAGCTCTGCTCCTAAATATCCTCTCATCTCCTCTTCCAAGCTCTATTTTTAAAATCAGATTTCCTTTACTGTACAGGCGAGCTGACAGAGAGAGGTATTTGCTGAGGGATTTGTCCCCCCCATGGCCCCCCCACACCCAACCCTTCATAGACACACGTTGGCAGCCCTGACCCAATGGGCCACTGGCTCAGAGGCAAGCAAGGAGCTGACCCGACCGAGGCTCTGGGCACTGAAGTTGGTGAGGCTGGGGCGTCTGTCTCTGAGTGTTGGGGGGGAAGAGGGTCCCACTCGAAGACCTCAAAGGCAATTCTGACCCCAAACCAGGTGCATTATATGCTGGGCTTCTTTTTTTTTTTTTTTTTTTTTAAATAAGGTGGGAATTTTCAAATCAATAGATATTTCTTAAAAAATTGTCATGAGATTTGAGAACAACACGTATTGAGCCACATTTGAAGGACTGAGAATATGATTTCTGCGAAGCTCAGAGAAGAGGTAGGGCCCAGGCTTTGGCAGGCCGGCTGGTAGGCAGTTGAAGCCAGATGGGAATCCCAGAGTGCCCATCTAAAGCCAGAATTTGGAGGCCCGACAGGTCCCGACAATGCCCAAAGCCCTCCCAGAGAGGCAGATGCTCAGCAGGTGTGGAGGGAATCCCCTCACCCTGCTTCCAAGGCCCCTCACTCACCTCCAGGGGAGTATTCGTCTCCAGGACATGAGTCACTTCTCCTTGCTAGTGATGACCTGCAGGGTGGGTCTGCCTCCATTTCCGTCCATCGGGTATCAAGCACCATGCCTGGCCCAGAAAAAGAATCAGGACATGCTGCTGTATGAATTAATTATGGGCAGAAGGACTTGGTTAAAAAAAAAACAAAGAAACGAAAAATTTGGGGACAATAAAATCAAAATGCGTTTGGAGGTTGGAGAATGGGAAACTCAGTCTTGTCAGAGAGAAGCATGAGGAACAGGAAATGGAAGCTGGAAAGGGTAGATGGTGAAAAGGTCTGGTTTCATGCGAAAAGAACTTCAGCTTTATAGTTTTAAGTAAAGAAGAGCAATCTAAAGATTTTCAGCGTAAGAAATACTTGGTCCAATTTTCATTTCATGCTCAGGCATTTAGATTTTATGTTGAGGACATGAAATTTGACAGGTTGGAAGCTACGAGTGCCATGATTAAAAGTGGGTGCCTTGCTAAGATGGTGAGGCTTTTTGTCGTGATGAAAACACGTTAAGATTTTAAGCAAGAGTTTCATAATTTGAGTTTCCTGGGAAGAAATCTGGACTTTGTTTTGAGGGATGACAGGATCAAAGTTTTATATCATGCTAAGGAGTCTGGATTTTTGCCAAAGGGTTTTAAGAAATGTGATGATGAGATTCTTGCTTGTGGGAGATAAGTATGCAGAAAAACATGATAAAATATATTTTACTCGTAACTGCTTTGGGATTCACGTTACAAGCAACAAGGAAACACTGGAAATTGTAAAAGAAAAGTAATGGCCACCAATTTAACAATCATGTGCAAACATTTTGACTTTCAGTCTTGGGGGAGTGCCAGTTTCAACCTGCAGAGCTTGCCTAGGAGGTGTGATTAATGTTGACAGCAAAATTGAAAGATTTTAATCAGAGAAGTTAAATGATCAATATTGCGAATATGAAAAGAAATTTGGAATTTATTTTGAGGCTCCAACATGATTAGATTTTTGCACACGCCTAGGAATTTGACTTAGCCAATAAATCTTTCTAACAGAGTGGCCTGGTGAGTTTTTTGTGTTTGATAAATAGTATGCAGTGAATTCCAAAATAAAATTCACATTTTATGCTAAGAATTTTGACTTTTCTTCCATTTACAATTAAGAGACACTGTAAGATTTTAAAAAGGAGTTATAAGATCAAATTTTATATATTGTCCTAGGAAGTGTGAATTATTTTAAGGCATGACATGATGGAATTTTTGTATCATGTTAATAATTTTGGATTTAATCCAATAAAGGGCTTAAAGCAGTAACAGGATGAGATTTGGGGGGTTTTAATAGACCATCCTGAGAGAAATTACATGGTAAAATGTTGCATTTTGCGTTAAGTAGTTGGGACTTTATGTTACAGGCAATGAAGAAACTTCGAGAAGTTTTAAGTTGAGAAGTTACGTGCTCAAACAAGTGCATTTTGGCACAGCTAAAAGACAGGATCTCTATGATAAAGATGATAGGATCAGATTTTGCTCCTATGCTAAGGAGATGTGATTTTACATGAGAGTTGAAAGCATTCAAGTGTTGTATTTGGAAGGGGTGGGGGATGAGCTCATTGAGCTCATTGTTGAAATCTTGTGCAGAGGCGTTTGGATGTCAGCCAGTAAAGAGTTTTAAGGAGTAAATTGATGAGAGTTTTGTCTCCAGAGGAATTGGATTGTAAACATATTTTAAGTTAAGGTGTCTGGATTTGATGAACCAGATAATGAATAAGCATGGGAACACTCCTAAGCAGAGGCGTCCCCGAGGCACGAGGGCATCCAGGCTGGACTCCATGCTGAGGAGACAGGTCATTTATAAACAGAGCATGTTTTCATAAAAAGAAGTTATATGATTAAATTTACATAGCATGCTAAGAAGTTTGGACACTATTTTAAGGGATGACAGGATTACATTTTTATGCCATGTTAAGGAATTTGGACTTCAGCCATTAAGAGAATTTTTTTTTTTTTTTTTTTTTTTTGAGAGGGAGTCTCCCTCTGTTGCCCAGGCCGGAGTGCAGTGGCACAATCTCGGCTGACTGCAACCTCCCAGGTTCAAGTGATTCTCCCACCTCAGCCTCCAAGTAGCTAGGATTACAGGCATGAGCCACTACTCCCAGCTAATTTTTGTATTTTTAGTAGAGATGGGATTTTACCATGTTGGCCAGGCTGGCCTTGAACCCCTGACCTCGAGTGATCCACCTGCCTTGGCCTCCCAAAGTGCTGGGATTACAGCTGTGACCCACCGCACGTGGCCCATTAAGAGATTTTTAAGGCAGTAACATGGCAGAAATTTTGTCTTGGGTAGTCAGAGAAATTTTATAGTAAAATGTATTGTTCTATGCTAAAAATAATTAGACCTTATCTCATAGGTAATTAAGAGATAGAATAAAGCTTTAAGCAGAAGTTATAAGAGCAAATTCGTGTATCTTGCAAGGGAGTGTGACCTTTTTATTTTGAGGAATGACATGATCAGAATTTTATATCATGCGAAGAGGTTTGGAATTAAGCCAATAAAGGGTTTTAGGAGTGACCTGATGAGATTTGGGGGTTCGTATTAATCAGTTGGCAAGCAAATTACATAGTGAAAATTTTTATTTTATGCTAAGTGGTTGAAACTTTACAGGCAATAAAAATGAATTTTTGTATGTGTTAAATAGAGAAATTATGAGATGACCTTTATTCATCTTGCTAACAGTTTAAACTTTGATGTTAAGAAGTATTAAGATTTTTCTAACATGCCAAGGATATTAGATTTTGAGCTGAAGGCAGGAACATTGAAGGATTTAATCATTCACATGGTCGAATTTGTAAATATGTTAAGGAGTGAAGACTTTATATTAAGAGAGTGCATAATCTAGTTTTTAAATCATCTTGCTAAGAAATTTAAATTTTCACCAATAAAGAGTTTTAAGTGAGAGACATGCTGAGATTTTCATTCCTGATAGATGAGTCTGCAGATGAATTACTTAGTTACATTTTGTATTTCAATTAGAATTTTATATTAGAGGTTTGGAATTTTACAGTAATAATGCATACCTCAGAGGACTTTTTTGGAGAGGAAATGAGTTACGTTATGCAATGTGCTGTGTATATGTTGCTGCAGTGATGATGATGATGATGATCCTTATAATTCTTATACCATGCTAATTTGTATACTGTGCTTTAAAAAAATGTCATCGCTACCTTGAGGAATGACAAAGTAAGAATCTTATATTAAGGCCCTTCCATTTTAGCCAGAGAATAGTTTTGGTGAGTTTACATGTCAGATATGTTTATGCTAGAAGGTTTGGATTTAATGTTGCAGACAGTAAATAAACAGTGGAAGGCTTTAATCAGAGAGTCTGCATGATCAAATTTAAGTGTCATGCTAACAAGGGTGTACTTAATTTTGAGAAACAGCAGATCTGAATTTTGTATCCTGTTGGAAAGCTTGGATTTTAGCCAATGAGTTTCATGTAAGGGGGAACGCATGTTTTTTTACAGATGGGTCCAGTGGCTTAGAAGAAAACTGAGAAGTAACAAAAGGTGTTAAATGTATAAAGAGCAGTAACTTTACAGCTAATCTATCAGATAATCAAAGCTCAATTTGCTCTGCCCCAGCAGAGAAGAAATATGCAAATAACCCCAACCAAGACATTCTCTTTCAATTCTGTCTCAGCCCACTGAAATCACCCAACACTAGATTTCCAAAAATCCACTCTGGGACCGTCAGATTCCAAAGATGTCACAGGCTCCCCCCAACCGCCACATTCAATGTCCCAACTCTGCCAGATACATGTCTCTGTTGGGAGGGCCCAACCAGCAACAGAGAGAAAAAGATATTTGTTAGAATGAGGAGACCAGCCCTACTGGAGTGAAGAAGGGGACCTGGAAGGATAAGACTGGGGAGGCGTGCAGACATGCTTGCATTGGTGAAATTCAGGCCAGATGTGTGAAGTTCCAGAAGCCTCACAAAGAGGTCAGTCCTGGGAGAGTGGAGATTGTGGGAAGAGAAGGAGATTATTTGAAGATCTCCTCAACAGCTCAGAGCTCAGGAGAACATAGCATTGGAAGGAGACCAAATCAAGAAAGAGAAATTGGCCGCAAGTCTGAGTTGGAATCAAGTAACAAATATGCAATTATCTAGCATGTAATAGGTATGTTATGAGCTTTATGGAAAAAAAAAAAGAACCCAGACCCGTACACACCTCCTAAAATTTCTATTTTGAACATGGGGAAGGAAATAAGAGCTATTTTGGGCTGCTGACCCAACTGATGGGACAGTGACCAAGTGCCCACTTTCTCCTCTTCCACTGTGCTGGTGAAACAGTAGGCATCTTTGCTAGAGATTCCCACCCCACAACCAAGGCAGCTGGGCTTGCTCCAGAGCCATGAGCCTGCCAGGGGTGGCTTTGGATGGTGCTGAGATGTGACCTCTGTAATTCTCAGGTGACCAAAGCAGGAAAAGAGGATTGACCAGGTGCATGTGCCAGGGTGAAATGCAGCAGCCTGTGCACACTGCCAGGTGCCCGCCTGCCATGGTGGCTGCTCCCAGTCGGTCACTCTACAGAGTTTATGGGCTCACATCTATGGAGGAAATGGACAGGACAGGCAGACTGAATAAGCCTGGGAAGCAGGTCAGGGGCTGACAGATCTTCCCACCCTGGGGGCACCCCAAGTGACCAGCCAAGGAGGCTGGCTTGGATAGAAGGCTTTCCCCCATTTCTCTCTGCTCCGATTAGTTGGGCATCTGATTTGTCCTTGAGACCTTCACACTGCCACCTCATGAGATCCTAAACTACTGCCTTTATCCCCCACTCCCCCTCCACCACCAGGTTCTGATCTCCACGGTCCCAGCTACTGACTGGACGCCGTCACAACCTTACCAATCTTCAGAATACACTCCTTTCCATCCGACGAAATGATAGAACCCTCTGAAGACTCATTTGAGACGATGATGGAGCATAAGAATCCATCATCAAAACAAATGGAGTCCTCCGAGGGCTCATCCAACACCACCGAGGCGACATCGGGCAGTGGAGTACAGGGAGAGGCAGGGCCAGCCAGCGGCCCAGCCCAGGAAAAGAAGGAGCCACCCAGTGGCCCACTCGAGGAAATGGAAGAGCTGACCACTGATCTACTCCAAGACATGGAGGAGCCATCCAGTGGCCCACGTAAGGAAATAGAGGATCCACCCAATGACCTACTCCAAGACATGGAGGAGTCATGCAACGGTTCACACCAGGCAAGGGGGGATCCACTCAGTGGAGCATCTGATAGGATGAAAGAAGCGTCAGTCAACCCATCGGGAGCCCAAGAAGAGCAAGAGGCTCACACTGACCTGAAGGAATCGGGAAGGGAGGAGACTCCTCAAGAAGAGCAAAACCAGACCGAGCACTCAACCGCAGAACTTATGGCCATGGTGAGGTCCATCATCTCGCTGTACTTCCGAATGCAAGACCTCAAAGAGCAACAGAGAGTAGCAGAAGAGATCTTGATCAAAGGGATCAATGCAGGCCAACTGCCCGCCCCAAAGCACTTCTCTGGTGATCGCAGAGAATTCCACGAGTTTATCGTACTCTGCCAACTGACTTTACAGAGCTACCCAAGAATGTTCTGTAACGACCGTCTGCGAGTTGGCTATGTCATCAACCACCTCTCCGGCTTGGCATTAGAATGGGCCAAAGCTCTACTGCAGGAAAACAGCCCCCTGATGGGAGACTTCCCAGCCTTCCTGGAGGCCATGTCAGAGGTGTTTGAGTACCGCCAGACACTGCGTGTGGCAGAAGAGGCCATGTTCACAATCAGGCAGGGCAGCCGCTCTGCCACCGAGTACATCGATGAGTTCCAGAGCCTGGTACCCATCTTGGGCTGGCCAGATGAAGTCCTGCAGGCCCACCTGTGCCAGGGGCTCAACGAGGAGATCAGGCACTATCTATTCCGGGTCCCTCAGCCGGATTCCCTAGACAGTCTGATTGTGCTCATCCTGCAAATAGAAGAGAAGCTGGCAGAGAGAAGAGCCATGCTCAGGCTGCCCCCCGAGGCCCGCCCCCGGAACCTGACCTGGATCGACTCACCTGCTCCAGAGAGGTGGATGGTCAGCAGCTGGCTGCCCAGCGAAGTCCATCCGGGCATCAACCGCGCCCACCTCTTCCTGCTGCTCATGGTGAGAGTGAACCCCTACCACAGCGTCGCGGTCCAGGCCCTGGTGGATTCGGGAGCTGACGGCAACTTCATGGATGAGAAGTTCGCCCAGGAGCACTACGTGGAGCTTTATGAGAAGCCGTACCCACAGCCAGTCCAATCCGTGGACGGCTCACTGATTGGCAACGAGCCTATCTGGCTCTACACGGAGCCCCTGGTGTGCATCCACCAGAACCACCAGGAGTCCATCGAGTTTGACATCGTACCTTCACCAAACTTCTCCGTGGTCCTAGGCATCCGCTGGCTCCGAGTCCATGCCCCTGAAGTCGACTGGATCAAAGGCCGCTGCACCTTCCACTCTCCCTACTGCCTGAAGAACTGCTTTCGCCCGCCCCCACCATGCATTGCCCTAGAGAGGCACGGCATGAGCCTGCTACCCGGACTGCCACACCCATACTCAGACCTGGCCGACGTGTTTAACCCGAAGGAAGCAGATGAGGAGACTTCCGACCAGCCAAGCTCAGACGGATCCGATGATCTTTCTGAATCAGAGCCCTCTGAGCTTCAGCAGGCTGGAGACAGTGATCACAGCGAGACCTTTTACGAGTGTCCCTCCACCGCGCCTTGGGAACCTGTGGGTGCCAGGATGCAAGAAAGAGCCAGGCTACAAGAGGAATACTGGGACCTGCAGGACATGCTGACCGACAGACAGGACTACATACAGATGATTCCGGAACTGTTTGACCAGTTACACGGAGCCGCGTGGTTCACAAAACTGGAGCTACGCGGGACCATTGTGGAAGAAAGCGTGAACGTGCACCGCACCGAAGATGTGTGGAAAGCAGCGTTT